TTCACCTTTACATACAACCTTGATACAAGTGAAAACGCAATAGGAATTGTTTTCATTTGTTTACCGCCCAGCAAATATTCCTCGGTATTATCCGCTCCATGTCCGAAAAATCCGAAATAAATACCGATAATTAACGAAACACGTAACATCAACACGAATCAACATAATCGACGTTCCACAACTAAAGTCGTTAAACTGGAGAATAACAGCACCTAATGTGTCATTTTCGATTTGCGAAATTCGAATAAACCGGTTTCACTTGCATGGTGGAGGTGATTTTGGTTAATGAATGATTTTACTTTCATAATTTAGTTATAAAACCTCTATGTTACAAATCAATTATCATAAAACTTAATTTCTTATCCCCATTGGAAGACTTAAAGCGATTACTTAAATCAACTGTAGGTACTATAAATACAATAATATTTCAATCTTCAAGTGCAATTAGACTGCATAGCAGGAAATTGGAAGAGAATTTTGAGATAACGTCATATTGGAATTGTAAATGCTACACATGCTTATACATATGTTATAAGGAAATGGCATATAGTAAAAAATAACGGCTACAAACATTATACGAACATATGAACATTTTGACGGACAAACAGTACAACTAACGGACCACTTGAACGCTGTGTTTGACGTCGTTTAAGTGAATATATGGGGAGTTTCTGCATCGTTTTATGACCAACGACGAAACATAGTTGGATTAGTACACACTAGAAACCAATAAAAAGTCGATACAGTCGAGCTGTATCCTGTAAACCTGCTCTGAAAAAGGCGAAGTTTGTGATTTGGTGGATACCGTTTTTTAGAATTCACACGCTCTGCGCTACATTGTCTACTTGGAGAAACACTTTGGGTCGTTTCGACGCCGAATTGTGAAAAACTCCTCTTAAAGCTTACCGACTTCCCTACACTTCGTCACCACAAGAGCATCTGGCTCAGTTTTTCGTCAAATTAAATTATTTATAAATTAATCGTTTCATAACTGGTACAAATCCGGTATTTTTAGGAATAGTTTATTTTAAATCATGAAATTGGTATCTTATATAAATTCTGGTGTTTTTTGTGTTTCACTGCAAAGTATGACCTCACACGATTAGACGAAAGGTTTAGAACATCTTAATTTAGCAGAAAATAAGCTTTTTTTCACACAAAATTTTTGCACAGCAACAAATCGCCAGAGCTGCATTCAACTTCGATTTCAGCTTCGATCTCGTTTCATTTATGGTATTTGCAGCTGCAAGCTGCCAAGTATGATTACAAAAAGAATATGTGATTACATTTATATTTTATGCCACATAACATACATATGTATGCAGACATGCATACGTGCAAGTGTACAAGCGCTTCTGCGCAAGAGTTCAGTTACAATAAAAATTAATGATTTCTTAAAAAGTCTGCAATTGTAAAATGTAAGCAGCACAAAAACCTGAAACATTAAAATAACAAAATTCGGCAATAAAATCAAAATCCTTTCACTTTTGGCGACCGCAAAATGACAACGATGATGCTACGGTAGCCGATGCATCAACACCATCAGCAGCAGAAGATTTGGGCCTCGCACCAAAAAAGGCGAAAATGTTAGCAACAGCTACCCATATGTATATTCATTGCAATAATTGTCCGAACATATGGCAACAGTGATCGCATCATCGCTCAGCAGTTGGTTTAAGTTGTTTTTATAGGCCGCTGCACTGCAATCATTACAAATTGCATATTTTGCTACAAACTGGTATTAAGTAGCGGGCAACTGTGCATAATGCAACAACGTGCAATAACAAAAATGCCTATAGGAACTAAAATATTTTGCATATAAAAAGTCATAAATATGTCAAAGCAGATCAAATAGTAGCGGGAAATTCAAAGTATTCGTTAAAAAAATTAGAATACCTTCAGAGAATTATAAGCAGCTTTTGATATCAGATATTATTTATATGAATTTCTGACTTCACCAATTTATTTAACCAACTTAGTATACAAATATATCTTTATAGAAATGTTTATAAAGTTACGAGCACTATTACTTAAAGATTGTGTGGTTTGTTTCGTCGAAATAATATTAATTACTATAATAGGATAGAAACACGTTATAACTCCTTAGGCTATGCCACAAGAGCCAATTCGACCTTCAAACACTTATTATGAAACTTTACCAAAGTTATATCTTATAGTTCAGATTTGTCTTTGTAAATTAGAGTTAAAATTAATTTTGCTTTTTTTGCGTCTGAATTTCTTTCAAACTTTTAATTATATATTATTTTCTCCATCAGCTTCAATTGTGCTTATTATTATATCATAATATATCGTTCTTACATTTTATGTACCCATATATAGTTTGGGGTTAAAGTTGTATTAAGGTCAGTATTAGGTATTATTTATACTTCATGAAGATGCATACACATTTATTTTCAATGAAAATACACTACAGTATTTTTGCAAGAACACGCGTTTTTATTCATAGTCAACAGAAATCGACAAATTAATTTGCAACCAAGTACGTGATAAATTATTGGAACTAGAATAAGGTCGTCGATTGAATTTTATTATAAAAAATTTTGATTAAAATTTTGTAGTATACAAATGTTTCAATTTATTAATTTGGTTTCTATTGAATTTCGGTTGGTTTTCATAGCTGCATCAATTTTCATTCTCTCATTTTATTGCGTATTTTTGAGCAAGTTTTGTTTTGCGTATTTGTTCTGCGAGTATGTAATTAGAGCACAATGAATGGTTGGTAGTACAGAACTAAACTACATATATGGTATTTACATACAAATATCGATTCATAAAATAAATTAGTATGATCTGCTCATCGGCAAAATTATGATAGATTTTAGCATTTGGGGTTGAGCGCCTTTAACTAGACTTTTTATAACTACAATATCATATATAAGTCTACGTTTCTATGTAGAATAGTGTAAATATCCAAACATTGGCAATTATTCGGCAATCAAGAGCGCATCTCAAATAGTAGTTTCAGAGTATATTCCGCTCCTCTCAATCTTCGAACTGCCTCAGAGCTTTTTGGATACGGGTTTTGATGATAGAATATAAACAGATTTGTGGAATTTTCTTAAAAATAGGAAACTGTACTTCTTATTTTCATATTTGACGTCCACATGAAGGCTGTTAAAAAGGATTTTTTCATAACGATAATAACTAAAATGGACGATGAATCGGATTTAAAAAAATTAGCAATAAAGCAGTTACAATTTCTTGACAATGTTTGAGGAAACATCACATCCAAATTTGTATCAATAATTAAAAATTTTTAATACTCTATCCCTATTTGTAAAAGGCTATGGAAAAAGAAATCGCACACCTTTACTGTGTTTTTTTATTTGTATAAACATGTATTACTAAAATATAAATATCGGCATCAGCATTGTATTGAAGTAGGCAAAATGAATGGCCTACTCGACTGACATATATATAAAAAACTTATGTATATACTTGGACATTTTGGCTGATAACACCAATTGCCTCTGAGTTGTGATGTTATATGTATATAAACACAGTACATAAGTTTAAATATATGTTTACGAACTAAGCCAACTGGGTAGCTGGGTTAATTACTGCCGCAACATTCCATTATATGTATGTTGTGTGCTCATGGGTACGCTGCCCAGCCAAACTAGACTTACAATAATGCCCCATTATTAAAGTACAATGCAATATATTTCATACGAAAAGAACAACAACAGCAACACCAACTGAGTAACCATTATAACAGTAGTAAACCAAATTGTGCCACAGACATCAATTTCTATCAGTTTTGCTTACCACTTGGTGAAAACTATATACATATATTTACAATATTATGCAAACTAATGAGTGTGGCATCATCAACCGCAAATAGGGAGTACAAAGTCGGTACTTGCACTTTTTTGTGGTATTCTCATGCATGGCCTCATATTATGTATGCTTATGTTGATGAAGAGGCATGAATGACTATGTAATTGATGTTTTTAATTTAAAAAAGTTAACAAGACATGGATTAGGGTTGGTCTTATTTTGATTTTTTGGTTGTAGTTTTATCTGTATATTAAAAAATTATAAAAAGTGCGCTCAACAACTACGACATAAACGCCGAATTAAAACTTGAAATTGGTTTCAAAACTAATAAAATCATAGGGGCACAGCAAAGAAAAATAATTGTCGCAAAGAAATTTTAAACGTTTTCTAGATGAGTGCGGAAATGGAAAACAAAAATCAGCTGATGCCTTCATGGAAATCTGTGTCTTAAACAAACGGTATGATATTTAAGAACGATCTTCATGTAATCTGTAATGTTTCTAGTTTATGAATAGAAGCAAATAAAACTAATGCAAATTTAACGGTGACAAAATTTACTATTTTTTTATTGTTTTCATATTTTTTTGTTGTTTCCTTGTTTGTTTCATGTACAAATAAAAACACTTACAAGCTAGTGATGCGTTATAACATTTTTTGTTTTTTTTTTTTGCTGTTACTGTTGTTGTTTACACAAACAAACAAAAAATTCAAAACTATTTACAAGAAAAATTAAAAAATAAACTCAACAAAACACACCCACCAAAAAAGTTGGAAAATGGAATATGTGTTCTTTTTGGTGGATATGTTGAAACAGCGGGGGTTATAAAGGATAGCTTGTTGAAAATACCTTGGAGATAGTGGGGTATTGGATATTGAAAGAGCGAGATCGCGTGAAAAATGAAAACGAAATATCACTGATGGCCCACCACACCATACACCGCTTGCTACTGCACCGCCGCGAACGATGACAACGACACAACGGCAGCCGTTCGTTGGTTGCGGTGCAGTGGATTGGTGCTGGTTGATTGGTTGTTGATGTTCGGTGCTGCAGTGGAATTATAAGTTCCCTACAAGTTATTGTTGTAACATTTTTGGCACAGGTCGCTGCAGAGCAAAGTCCGGCGCGTCAATTATGCTTGTTCGCGGTTGTCCGTTGCGCTTGGCGGTGTTGGGTGGATGCGGGTGACAGTGCGAAATCGAAATAAGAAAAATGAGTAGATATTATCATACTCTACATGTCTCTGTACAACACATGTTTCACACATTCAGCGACAGCAACGAAAATGGCAACAATGTTGCAGATTTCGTTGTTATTTGATTGTTGCTGTTTGGTTGCTATTGCTAATGTCGCCTCCGTGATCATCGAATTATCCATTGAGTGGCGTTATTGTTGTTGCTTGCATTACTGTAGTTGTTAGTTATTTTTAAACCGCTTTCACTTTAAATTTGTGCTTCATAGCAATCAATGCCTCAAATCGCCCTCATCGTCTTCATCATGTATCATTATCGTCATCTTCATTTTCGTTTTCAACTTCAATTTCATTTATTTGGCAGCATGTTGTTTGATTTATTGTCTCATCGATTGGTGTATTGGCTGAGGATCGTGGTCTACATTTAATTTATATTTTTATGCTTGGCTTCTTTCATTCCGCTCCTTCTACTCATCTACATGGTCACAGGCACAAGATTTTTATATATCTAGTATTTAAATGTATTTAAGTTGACGCACACATACATCTTAGAAAGGCGCGCCATAACTACCGCTTGGTCTCGATGGAGCACCATACGAGCCAGAGGGCGCGCTTGGGTAGCCGCCGAAGCCACTACCGCCGGCTTGCGTGCTCTGTTGAGCGAATTGCGCCACCTGGATAGCCTGACGCACACCTTCCAAATCAATGCCAACAACACGGCCGCCACCACCGAAACCGGGCACACCATAAGACGATGAAGGTGGACCATATGAGCCCGATGGTGGGCCATACGAGCCAGATGGATAGCCACCGCCGCCACCACCACCGCCGCCGCCGCCAGATTTGCTCTCCTCATTGAGTAGAATTTGACGTACTTGTTCCAACAGCTGAGGATCGACATTTTGGCCTTCGGAAGTCTGGAAGCCACCACTTACGGCTTGGTAACCGCCACCGCCACCTCCTAAGGAGCCGCCACCAAAGCCACCGAACGAACCACCGCCACCGCCGCCTCTGGGATAATTATATCCTGATGGTGGTTCCGCAACGACCAGTGCTGCCAAAGCAAACACCAAGAACTGCAAGAAACAAATTAGAAAAGGCGCAATTAATCCACTTGAAAGTTTGAGGCAACGACTTTATCCATAATTGTTGGTGAAGTATCCTTTTCATCATTTGTTATATTGTGTTTTGTTCATCACTTTAATACTTACCACGGAGAAGGAGTTCATAGTTGTGAGTTTTGTGTGGGGGAGAGAAGTAAAACTTAAATTAAAAAATAAATTTAGTTGTTTGCTTGTAGGGAACCAACGACTGAATGCTTTGACGTTGCCCAGTGAGGCCTCTTTATACTTACTCAACGAAGCGCACCAATGCTTGTGACACTAGAGTGGACTTTGCTGCAGTTGTTGTAGTTGTAAAGCGACCAATGCTTGCCGAGCGTATGCGTCGGAGGCAAGCAACGAGCGAAGCAACCAAAACGATCAAGAGGCGAAATCAGCGTTCAACCAAAGCAACAGACAAGCGTGTGACCCCACAAACAAACAAAGAAATAGCCGTCAACACCAAAAGCGATGCTCGACCTGCAAGCGTTTTTCGGTATTTTCGTCTCTTCGGCTGTTACTTTAACACCAATTCAGCAACAACTCGATCATCAAGCTGGTGATTATTATTTGGAGAATTATCACGTTGCTTTGGCTAAGCAAGCATTTGTTGCTTCCAATTGAGGCCTCCAAAAAACGTGTAGCCTGTCGGCAGTACTCTCAATAATCTTGCTCATCTGAACCAATTGTTGACTATGCAAATTTATTTCATTAATTTTTTTATTTTTATATGAACTCATACTTTCTTTACAATATAATTATAATACATATTTATGCTTTACTTTCCGAGCATTTATTTCTTTCCTAATATATATTTGAATATAGTCACTAATTTTTCTTTCTTCCAATAAAAAGTACTTTTTTTACCAAAACCTATACTTTGTCCCAATACTTTTTCTTCCGTTGATTTGTGTTCAGGTGGTTTACATATCCTGTATGGTAGTAATAGCATCTGTGGAAAATCGCATATACATATGTACGTAGCAAACGTGAAATATTTTGAATACACCACGAAGGTCGAAACTATAAAATGGAAAGCAGTCAGACAAACACATATGTAGTTAATGGTTATGTCTATATACATATACATTAATACAGAGTTTACATATGTATAAAATGAAATAGGAAATACTTGATATAAAATCGAACGAGTTCTGCGTTTTGGAAAGGTGATTGCGCTGTCTAGGACTTACAGAAATTCGAAAATACACACACAAAAGTACATATCCTCTGTGGAATTTCAATTCTTTTAATGTTAATATTGACCAGTAAAATAGGATGCGAATTAATTACTCTGTTCCTAAAAACAAACAAAATGCTTGTGGAGTACCGTAACAGGAATATGTTTGGCGCCATCATTTTTTAAATCAATTGTTGTAAGCGACGCCACTTTATAGGCGAGCATTCGCATGAATTTGAAATATCAGAGCACTTTGAGCGAGCTGGACTTTACATTAAATTACTGAAGAATAACCGTTCAGATGGTTATCGCGAATTGTTATTGGGGAATGTACCGGGTTTTCCAATGGGGTTGACATGATTTCTAACAGTAATTTCGGCCATTTTTAATATGTAATGGTCTGTAATTTTTTTTATTGTATTCAGAAATGCTTACAATTTCTTCATGCAAAGATATACGCGAGAACAACGTTTACAAATAATTCAATAAATCAAAATAATCGTTCTCCAATTGCAATTTTTGTTATTTTATAGTCATAACAATCGTCCATCTGTGCTCGCTATTCGTCGAATTATTAATAATTTCGAGCATACATTTCCTTAACACAACTTTCAGGTGCTAAGAAGGCAAAGAACCGCTCGATGTAATGAAATATTGCTGTCTTTGAGGCAAGTGTTGCTGAAGACCGCAATTCGTTGATTCCAAAACATTCTCAAGAATTGGGACTGTCTCAAAGCACAACTTGGCGTATTTTGAGAGAGGATTTGGGCTTGAATCCATATAATATCAAATAATGGAGCCATTCTACTACAGTAAATGTTGTGAATTTGTCGAGTTTGCCTTGGAACCACTTGAAAATGATAACAATTTCTTTAAAAAAATCATCTTTGCGAACAGGCTCACTTTGGAGAGCGGTATAGATCGTTGATAACCAAAATTGTATGGCCGTTTTTGAAAGAAGTTGATCTTGACAACATCAGGTTCCAACAAAACGGGGTTACATTGTACATAACACAGCAAATTATTGCCAGAAAAGTTTGCAAATTCGATTATTCCAAGAAATTTTTACATTGAATGGAGGCCAGTAGTTCCATTGGTAGGTCAATTTTTGAATGAGTTAGATTACTTAAGACGAATTTGTATAATGGGTTCAGTAACATGATAAATAGCGCTGAATTCAAGTTTCTTCTATATCGAGTAGTCAGTTGCAAAGAAATCAGCAACATTATCATATAAATATAGTATATACGTTTCTCTTCGTCAGGGACTTCTGGAATTTTCATATGCATGTGCAAACAATCTAATATGCATATAGTCGCCAACAATCTTGTTGTTGTTGTTGTAACGGCAGAATTCTGCCSAGTTGACAGTCCTTGGCCGGATAAAAATCCGGGTCCGTTCCGGTTTTCGTAGACCCGACTGTCGTGGGAACGGTCGCCAACAATCTTCAAAACTATTGCTTATTATACATATGTATATGTAGTATGAGTGATATATATTTTCTTTATTTAGTTATACATTATTCTCTAAGCAACTCTCTCCTTTAAGCATTTTCAGGAAACAAATTCAGTAAATGATTAACAAACTGCCCAGCCGATCAGTAATTGGCACAACATCGTCAATTGGGTTACAAGCTATCGACAAACAGAAACAACATGAAGGATGGCGATGAATAAGGCGATGCTGTCGAAAAAAAAACCAAGATGACAATTGTTATGGCGAATATGTAGTCGAGTGTAATGTGATTGTACTACTTTTTCAACCAATTATCAACTTTAGGTCCCAACAACTCGAAATGGCAAATAAATATTACATAAGAATACAGGAAACCAGCCATGATACGTTGAAACGTTGCAATCCACCGCAACGTTGGCGAGACGCAATCGTTAATGCTTGACGACATGGAAAAAGTGCCGACTTGCGACTACAAACATCAAGAAATCACCTGCAGCGACGGTAATGTTAGTTGTTGCAGCAACTGCAACTAATAATAGTTGCAACAGCAGCCGGCATGGATGAGTCGGCAGCACTAGTGTGCGAACGACTGCTGTTTGTTTGTGATCACAACAACAAATTTTGATGATTTTACAGTTTCCTATGCGGCTTCTTCAACGCATTTGCTACAACAATAACAGTTCAGTGCCTCTTGCTAGTCATGTCTACAGATTGGCAATTGTCGTGTGACGTACACTGGGTAAAAGTTGTTAGGCCACTTGAAAACAATGAACAGCTGAGAGCAAGTCGCGATGATGCTGCTGTTCCATGTTGTATTCCCGGTTTGTACACGAAGATGACAACATCGCTGGCAGGCAGCACGTAGTAACCATGTACACAGCTGTAGCAAATTTTGGCTATGTGCTTCCAAAAGAGAGAAAAAGTGCTTAACTAGGAATACATAGCTACCATAACAGCCCGTTTGCAAGAGTCGAGAAAGTTTTAATGTTACGAAAGTGCAGACTTTGATGGCTTATAAAGAAGAAAACACAAGGGCGCTAACGTCTGGAGTAATAGTGTGGTATGCATGAAATCTTCAACTTATAATTCTCATATTATATTTATTTTACAGCAGGTATGCATAACAAAGATATTAACTTTCCCTTTCAATTGGTTTATTTTTTCATGCAATTAAGCAGGATTGTATTATATCGGATTCTTTCAATAACAGTAAAACTATGAAGTATGAAATTGTTTTTGTTTATTTAGAAAGCACAGCCTTGTTACAACATTCATTTATCTGGGTGCTCCAATTTTTGATAAATCGCGTTACAAATCTTATTGAAAAGTTAACAAACTGTGGAGTACGTCAGAAACTAACTGAAAAGTGTTAAATCTGATGTAACATTAAACAACAGAAGAAATGTACACCTATTTATTCCTAAATATTAGATTAAACCAAAGTTAATCGTCTATAAAGTCTAAAGATGATAAACCCCATGGAGGTTCAAAAGGGCCTGCTGCGAACGAAAAATCCACAAAATGATTTCTAGTAAACATAAAAAGCGGTGATCGAGAAAACTGTGTGACCTAAAGATATCGGACGAATATCTAAAACGTATCATTCATGCAAATTTGGGAAAGATCTGTGGGCGCCTCGCATGCTCACAATCGATGGAATTGGAATTGGGATCAGGCCCCTAGTAGTATTTTCTGCCTTCGGATCTCAAGAGAACGGTATTTGAAAAGAAATCACTGAGACTAGAATATAAACATTTTAATATGACAAAATGTCGCTAAGAAATTAACGTTTTATAGAATGAAACACGAAACACTTCTTCTTTGGATATAATTTAAAATTTTAATTGTTACTGTAATAACAAAAGACCAACGGGGATGCTATTAAATTTGCACACAATGCCACATAATTATACGATTCACTCTTAACTTGCTACGAATTGGGCATTTTATGTCGAAATGGCAAACTAACCGCATTTCTCAAATCAACTAACCAACAGGCTAAATCAGACGAATTTAACGAACCAAGAAAAAGTGCCGTCTCTGACAGCAGCCCAGAGGTCGTTAAATCAAAGTCTGCTTGCTTGCTGCTGGTGCTACAAACTGTTCACCGTGCAAGCATCACTTACCGTCTTTAGTCGCATCTGCACGTGTAATAATAACCATAAAGTGTAGACAATAAAATATGCGACAAAAAAATATAATTTTAAAGAAATAAAAAATATCAAAAAGTGCCACTGATGGCAGCGTGCCGGCAACAGTTCACCGGCTCACAGCGGAATATTTAAACCCTTTGCATGGCTCAAAATAATGCGATACTGAAACACAATAACACTCACACTCTCGCAAAACGACCATCAAGTAATCTTACAACAAAAAATAAATTAAAATAATTGCTTACGTACAAAAAATGTTTAACGTTTTATATTTCAACCACCTTCGGTTTTCCTTGCACCAATCAGAAATTGTACTTTTAGTTACTCGCTGGAGACAAGCTTTTTTTATCGCTGCGTGCAAAATGTAAAATGCCATCGATGGCATCTTCAACTTGAGCTTCAAATCTTAAGTTACCAATTTGCCTGCGCCCTTCCCCACTTAGCCCATCTCAAGCACCACTATGTTGCTATGAAGCACATGAAGGGCGAGGTCGACCAAGTGATTCGAATTGGCATTTTTTTTTTCAAAAATTTAAACAAGTAATTATCCATTACATGACGTGTTTTTGACTGTTTTTCTGTTCTGTTGTAAATGTCAGAAAAATTAGTAATCCCTCCATCTCCACGCTTGTTTGAGATGAATAGCAATTAAAAAAGAGAATTGTGTGCTTGAAAATCGAATAACTAAAATATTGCGACAACCATGTTTTTTGACATTTATGGTGACCTTTTTATCTTTCTTCTTCTTCTTTACTGGCGTATACACCGCTTACGTGGTTATAGCCGAGTTCTTTCTTTTCGCTGTTTGACGCCAATTGGAGATTTCAAGCGCAGCCAGGTCCAGGTCCTTCTTCAACGGCAGGCACGCTGCTTTATACGTTCAGAGCTGGAGGTTTTTCATTCATACGGACGACATAAACCAGCCAGCTTAGCCCTTGTCTCTTA